AAAATGTCCCGGCCATTTGCAGCAAAATGCATGGAACGTGAAGACATAAAAGTGAAATAACCATGACACAGGAACACAAATACCACATGTCCTTTTATATACATGGAAGCCAAAAAAGGTGTTCTGTAAGTAGAATTGTATTTACTAGAGCCCTAGGGTGGGAGGAGGGTAGAAGAAATTTTCATATTAGTTTTGAGAATAGGATCAAATACTGTTAGATAGGGTGAATAATTTTTAGTGTTAGAGGGTGATGATAGTTCACAATTAATCAAGTACATATTTTATGAAAAACCAGAAGCTCCCAAAGTCTGAACAAAAAATGATAAGGTGTTGAAATAATCACACTGTGGTTGTGGTGGTTAATGGATTAATTGTCACCTTGAGTGAGAACACCCAACTTAACTGAGGCAGCATGGTTCTGGGTGTGAAAGATCCACTTTAAGGAAGATTTTTGTCCAAAAATATAAATGGAGAACTGGAGGGAAGGATTTCAACTGGTTTTTCTCCGAGGAGCTTTGGCTGTTCTCTTCCAAGGAGCTCCTGCCTTTGCCTTTGCCTTTGCCTTGGGCATTGTCTCCTGGCTAATGGCATGGATTCTTCAGCTTCCAGCACCAGCCTTTCAGCCTCTGGATGCAGACTCTTTAGCTTCTTTCCAACCCTTCAAACTCCCAGCTCAGACCACTTGATATTCTGTTGAAGATCCTTTGGCCTCCTGATACAGGGTCCTATGGAATATCACCATGGGCTCCAGGCCTTTGGCTGGGTCCTTCAGATATCTAGCATGAAGACAGACCTTTTGCACTCTTTTACATTTGACTCTTGGCAAACATTGTAGGCCAATCTTGTAAATTTCTGTGTCATGTATTAAATTTGATTCAGAGGATGTGCAGTCTTTTCAGGAGAATTATCCCAGCCCTGCAAATTCTTGTAAGCACTAATAGAACAGTCCATACATGTATTAATATTCCATATTATTTAAAAAGAAAAATTTGAAGTTAAAAAATATAACCTCTTGTAGAATCCCCAATCAGTGGTTGCTAGCAATTAGGAACAGGGCAAAGATAAAGATAGGACACAATAGAGTCGGTGGGGGGTTGGAACAGATGGTGGTGGTATTTAGATGAATTCATACATGTAAAATTAGTGTCACACGCATATACAAATCAAGTTCATGAATGGGTATCTGAGATGAATACACACTTCTCAGATGAAGAAATGCAAATGTCAAATAAATACATGAAAAAAATATTCAACATCAGCAGTCATCCGTGAAATGCAAATTAAAACACTGAGATTCCATCTCACCCCAGAAAAAATGGCAACCAATAACAAATGAGAGAGGGAATGTGGGTAAAAAGGAAAACCTCCTCACTATTGTTGGGAGTGTAGACTGGTGCAGTCACTCTAGAAATCAGGGTGGAGATTCCTCTAAAAACTAGGATTAGGTGTCCCATTAGACCCAGGCATTTCCCCTTCTGGGTATTTTTCCAGACGACTGAAAACATCATGCCACTGTGATATATGGGTGCCCATGTTTATAGCAGCACAATTTGTCATAAATCTTGGAAACAACCCAAATTCCCATTAATTGAGGAATGGATAAAAAAAGATGTGGTATTTTTATACAATGGAGTATTACTCAGCTATAAACAAAGATAAACTCAAGGCTTTTATAGGTAAATGGATGCAACTAGAGACCATATTCATAAGTGAAATAAATTAAACCCACATGTGCAAACAACATATTGCCCCTCTAGTATAAGAAACTGAAAGAATAAATAAAATCTGAAAGGTATAATAGATACTGTGAAAGGAAAATAAACTGCTCAAAGGGAAGGAACAACTGGGATGAAGAAAAGGAGAAAAAGAAGGAAGGGAAAATATATACGCATATATACAGGATGGCTGGGGCAATTGTACTGCTGACTTCTACTGGTCTATTGAAAGGAGCAATTAAGGCTTAAATATTTTTTCTTCTTTTTAATTTTTTTTTAACCAAGTTTGCATGCTTATATCTAGTAATCTGAATGACTAATTTGAAGACAATATGCAATATAACAACCATTGTTGAATTCCTATCATCTTGTTTAGTGAACTTGTGTGTAATTTCTAATATTTTTGTTATTTTTTTATAGTCTTTAAAAAATAACCTAAAAAATCAAGTTCATGAGAAAAATAACGAGGTCCAAAAGATTGGTAGTTGGGTTAGTAGTAGAGTATGTTAATATCCTTATCTCAGTTATCATGCTGTAGTTACAAGAGATATCATCATAGGAGGACTCTGGGTAAAGGAACATGGTCATTGTCTTAGTCACTTTTCTCTCATTGCTGAGACAAAATAGAGGTTTCAGTCCATAGTTTACTGGCTCCAAGGCAGGGTGGCATGGCAGACCCTCTCAGAGGGGAAAGTTCATGGTGGGCAGAGGGTAACAAAGCAAACGGGGAGTGGGTGGGCTTTAGCAGCATTTTCCTTCCTTTTTCTCTTACCCAGGCTACCAGGAGTAGGGTGGTGCCAAAACAGTCAGTGGACTGATTTAGTAATCACCCACCCTTTATCCTACCGCCTTTAATCTTAGCATTGTACCATGAATCAATCACACACTCTAGATTCAGCCACCTCTGAAAAAGCCCCACCTGTGACTGCATGAGGCTTTGAGGGGACATCTAGACACAAGCCATAACAGTCATTTTCTGTACTATTTTTGCAGCTTTGATTTTTTGTTTGTTTGTTTTTGTTTGCAGGACCTTGGGGATGCCAGAAAATCACTGAATCTTTAAGTTGCATCCCCAGACCTATATTTGCAACTGTAATGTGAGTCTAAGAGTATTTGAAAACAAAACATTTGTAAAATTATATAGCTTATGATATCTTCTTTTTACAGCACTTTTGAAAATAAGATTTTCTTTTTTTCTTTTTCTTTTTTTTTTTTTTTTGGTCTTTTTGAGACAGGGTCTCGCTATGCAGTTCAGGCTGACCTTGAGGTCACTTTGTAGCCCAGGCTGGTGCTGAACTCACAATGATCCTCCTGCCTCAGCCTCCCGAGTGCTGGGATTACAGGTGTGCATCACCATGCACAGCAATAAGGATTTTCAATATTGCTTGATTAGACATAGCCGTGTTCATATTCACTGACTTCTGGGTAGCACAGAGAAATGCCACCTTCATGGGCCCTTTCTAACTGTCGCTTTCCCTAACTTTCCCTGTTTACTTTCTGCCTGGTCTATCATTCTGTTGCCTTTCTCAACTACTCTCATCTAGAGATATTCATCTTCCCTGACCACATCCCACTGTATTCTCCTCCTACTCAGTGGAGTCCTTAACCATGGACTTTTCCAAACTGCAGACACTGTGCTCCTCGGATCACCAGAGCAGCCGGTTCACAGCTGCGTCCCACCTGAGAACAACTCCTGAGCCGTGGAGGTGGGCTGAGAGTCAGGGGCAGACGAAAGCAGTCACTCCTTTTTACTGAGATTTATGGAGACTTTCTGGATAATGCAGACTTTCTGAAAAATGTTTCTCGGCAACCTGCTTTTTAGCTAGTTTCTAGAGACAATAAATCGTTACTTTTCAATAAATATATCTAGTTTTACTGCTTACTTTTAGAGAAAGACAACATAGTGGTTTCCTTACATAGACGTTTTTAAAGTCTTACCTAAATAAAATCTGTTTAAAAAGTTTGGGAATTATCACTCAGCAAATCTATTCTTTAGTAGATTCTTTTCACTTCTTCCTTATTGTATTCATTTTTTATTAGTGCATAACTTGTACATACCTTGTGTGAAGTTTTCAAATATCTACAAAAATATAAAGCTGTTAAAGAAGAACCTAGGTTTTACTTCCAGCTTTAAAAGGAATTGGCAACTATGAACGTGTTGTTGCCTTAACGTGGGGACCGCTGCTCTACACTCACTTGATTTTGAAACTGCTGACCTGGCTAGGAAGAAGGAAAGAAGAGGCTGTATTTCTCCTCAGTGACCCATTTCTGAATACTCAAATCTTAGAGAGTCAGTGACCAGCACAAGGTAACTGAATATATATGTCATTTTGTGTAAATAAATGTCAAGGGATGGATTTATAGTATTAATGTGAAAACATTGATTACACACTGGTTATTTTGCATGTCCCTCATGAACTGTGATGTTTACAAAAAGGACTTCACTAGCCTAGTTCATGGTAGTGCCTTAAAATTCAAAATTGTGCTCATTACTTTGAACGACTGCAGGATTACACTCAGCACTGACATTGCCAGAACATTTACAGTTATATAGAATTAGTATTATCTAACATGTTGCTTTCAGTCAATGTCATTTTAATCCTATGGGATTCCACAGATGGAGGACAAGGTAAATTGAAACAAGATCTGAATAGTTTCTTTTTCAAATGGGTTTGTTAGCTTTGTAGGTATGTTTGTAACTATATTTTTCAACAAAAACAGATGAGAACAATTTGAATGAAGGCTCACGATATTAATCTACTTCATAGAAAAGTTTCTAATATGTAATTAAAAATAGAATAAAGTAATTTCTGAACTTTGAAGTGTGAATAGCTGCCAAATATAGAATTTGGAAGGAAATAAAATTTTTAAAAAAATCTGTAAGTGATGAAAGTGATACCACAATACTGTACAAAATCGGCTATATCAGTGATCCACAATAAAAGCATCCTAAAATGATTTGGACATTGACATAAAATGTTTGTGGCATTTTGTTTAAATAGATTTGTTATTAAGAGTTTAAATATTACTAAAATGAGAGACTTCCCACTTCATTAATTCTCATCCAACAAAAAGAAATATCTCTAAAACAATAGACTCTTTATTTTGCATGTAAACTAGTAAAATTCCAATAAATTGCTTTCTTTAGAGCTCTTCAAACAATGTTGAAAATGAAGACATCATATGTCAACTCTTTATAACATATTTAAACATTATTTCTATGAACTTGAACTTTAGCTTGTTCTGCTACTTTCAGCAATTGGGGTTGTAATCACAGGGGAGCAGTCATCTGATGAGCCCTATTCTGAATAATCTGGTCCTCCTGTAGTGAGGGGCCAGATCTTTACTTTCACTAAAGAATTACGATGAGAGTTTTAAAATTTGTTTTCCTGGTATATATTAAGTGGTTTTAAATACCAATAAGAAATCGTATCAAAGAGAGGTTTCTAAGTGAAAAAAAGTAGAAGATAAATGAAAAATACAAACATGATATTTAGAATTTTGACAACCCCTAGCCCACAGAAAGATACTCAAGCTTTAATCCAGGATCTTGAAACAAACATCATGAACCACTCCAAAAACAGCAAACGCAGCACATTAAAGTGATGTTTTTAGTATAAATAGAAAATTCTACATGATTTCAGTACAACATATTTATGTATTATGCCTCATGCTGTAGCAAAGAAACTGGAGAAGAAATAAAAGCCCCAAGAATGCCTCACTGCAAATTACAGTGTCCTAAAATGAAATTAGGCAAATAGATTACAAGGCAATATGTCTAGTGTGGATGGTGATGGTGGTGGTGGTGAACGTGTATGTGTGTGTGTTCCATATGAAATAATACTCATAGGGTTGTTTCAGCAGAGAAAATCATGTTCTCCTTTTGGAGTGGACGTTTGGGTAAAGGAGGCCTGCCATGAGAAGTTAGCCTTCATAGGTAGCATCATCTCTGAAGTGTACAATACATATTCAGCAAGTGCCATATTGTACCGTGTTTTGAAAGATTGGCTGAATGCAAATGGAGCATGGAAACAATGTTATTCTCGGTTGTAGAGAAGATGTAGGCATAAATGCATAAAATTGGAGTACTATAATTTGGGAGGGGAACAAAAGGTACCTGAAAAAGAGTTGTAGTAGGTAATATTGTCAACATACCAAGGAAATCTCTCCCCTAGCATCTTTTCCAAAACTATCTTGTGTCAAATATAAACAGATAATCAACTTCAGGTTTCACAAAGTAAGTGCAAAAGAAATGAATGGTTTCAAATATTGTGCAATATTGAACGTTACCTCCAGAAAAATGGAAAAAAAATGACCTGTGACTGAATTTCTGTGAGTCTTTTCTCAAATAAGGAATAGTGCTTCTTAAATGGTAATGCTCTATTGAGGACACATCTTGATATTCTTAAAAACACGTTACACTGAAGCCATAGGATGTATAATACCTATTTTAAATTATGGACTTTCACTGAAAATGACAGTAATGGTGGGGGAAGATATGTGTATGTGTAGGTGTGTGGGGGCATGAGAAATAGCTGCACTTTTTACTCAATTTTGCTATGACTTTCTTAAAGATTGAGTCTAATAATATATACATATGCATATATAAATATATAAAAATGAGGGTACAGAATTGTAATTATTTCACACATTTTCTAAATTGTTTTAATGTATCTTGCTCCATAGTATATATGGATGTATGTATATGTGTTGCACACACACATATATACATGTGTATCACATATGGAACAGTTGTATTTATACATGCCACATTCATCAGAATTCAATAGTAAGCCCGGGCATGGTGGAGCACACCTGTAACCCAGTGTTGAGAAGGCTGAGGCAGAAGGATTGCCATGAATTTGAGGCCAGCCTGGGCTGCATAGTGAGTTCAAGGCCAACTTGACCTACATAGTGAAACCTTTTGAAGAACTGAGACAGGCAGTGAGAGAGGTAACCTGTACTGATCTGTGTAGTGTGTGTGAGGTAGTGGAATGATAAAATACGTATATATATAAACTTTTAGTCTTTTTCTCTTTGGGATTTCTTCTTGAAGATATTGCCAAAAAGTTCACGGTTAACATTGCTCCAAATGTAAATTTCATATTCATTGACAATGTTCTCCTCAAATACACATGCACTCCTAATCAAAGATTTTTCCTCATTTTGAATCAGTACACTGGAAAGCATTTGAGCTGAGCACTTTTAAGCTAAATGAAAGAAAAAAATCTTCAATGAAGTGACTAAAACAATTTAATGATTCAGTAATACAGATTATCATTTAATTCTTTAGCTATGCTTTATTTTTCTTCAGTGGGACTTTGTAATTTTCCAAAAGTCAACCATGAAATCCTATATGATGAAAAGAAATATAAGGCATTGTTCCCAGTTTCTGTGGGGAAATTTTTCTGTTACTCCTGTGAATATAATTTTGTGTCTCCTTCAAAAAGCTTTTGGACTCGTATAACATGCACAGAAGAAGGAAGGTCACCAACGCCGACATGTCTCTGTGAGTAAATTCCCCAAATGTCTGATTCGGTGAAAAGAAAAGGATGTGTAAGACAGCATCATGGGGCTTTGGTCATCGCTGGCAAGGTCTAGACGAGCCAGAAAAAAGGAAGATACGGCTCTTCTTTTCCAATCTTTTATAGAAATCAAATGGAAAATAAATGTTTCAGTGTTCCATACTATCCAAAAGTGCTCTACATATTGAAATGCGTGAATTTATAAATCTGATTGTTAATATATTCGACTACTGCTATGTCTTTCCAAATATTTATTAGGTAACCTGATCATATTTTTCATTTAAAAAGCCATTTTACATATATAATATGTTTTGTTGGCTTGACTATGCTCTAGAATATTGCAAGAAAAAGGTTTAATTTACTAACTTTTCCATTCCCATAAATCACTTCTTTTCATTTCGAAATTGTTATTTTATCAATCCTTCAGTGAACATAGGGAATAGCCATACATAATGACAAGAGGATTAAAAGATAAATCCATGGAAGTCAGAATAGAAGGTGACAAGCACTGTTTTTCTTCAGTAATATAATTATAATGTAAAAGAGGAATATGGCATTTTTGAACCTAGGAGAGTTTATTGCAATATTTTATAATAAAAACTACTGAACAATAGCATAAAATATTAATCTTCCTAATATAAGAAAAATATATTTCATCATATATGTTAACATGAATTAAATTGTATTGAAATCTTATTTTTAAACTTGATTTCAGTGTTTGAAGATTGCTATTCTTTAGAAAATATGCAATGAAATTTTACTACTTTCACATTATATATTGATCACTTTTTGGTCCTTCGGACTGTGTTTTTTCCTGTTGTGGAAAGTTCTCATTCTGCATATTCTGGACAGACACAGCTTCAAGGTGACACTGTACAAACTGTTTACAATACAGGCTACAACCCTCAAGATAAGAACACCATTTTGTGTGCAGAAGGTGGCTGGCCCACTCCTCCCAAGTGCATTTCCACCAGTAAGTAAAGTGCTGTCTTGTATCCTTATGTTTTGTGATACTTTAAGTAAATCTATTTTCGGGGTCGCTTATACCATAATGCATTTGAGTTTTAGTTGCAATCATATCTAAGTGGATAGGACAATAATTCAAATGCATGTAATGAATAGAAACAATATACAAAGCTATATTTTGAAGATAGTCCCGTTATGTTAAAGTCATGCCTATTATTAAATTTGTTAACAGCAAGTGGTTAAAAAACCACAGTATTAAGTGAAAAGTTCAATTCTAGTTAAAAATCATAAGCAAGGTGATTAATGTTTTTTGGTTTTGTTGACAATAGCTATTACAGTGGCAGTGAGATGATATTTCATTGCAGCTTTGATTTGCATTTCCATTATGGCTTTCAATTTTGAGCATTTTTCCATATACTTGATGGATATTTGTATTTTATCTTTTGAAAAGTGTCTATTCAGATCATTTGCCAATTTTAAGTTGGACTATTCATTATTTTCATTGTAATGTTTGAGTTCCTTTTGTATTATGGATATTAATCCTTTGTCAAGTGCGAATTGTTTGTAGGTATTTTCTTTTGCTCTTTGCCTATCTCTTGACTCCACTGATGTCTCCTTTTCAGAAGCTTTTCAGGTGGTGGAATTCCATATGTCAATTTGCTACTTAGTTGCTGTCTTAGCAGTAAATATTGAAGTCAGATATTGTGATACCTACAGCTTTATACTTTCTGTTTAAGAATTCTTTGGCTATTCAGAATCTTTTCTGCTTCCATATGAATTTTAGAATTGTTTCTCTAGTTCTTTGAAGAAAGTCATTTATATTTAGATGGGGATTTCACTGAATCTACAAATCACTTTGGCTAATATGAACATTTTAACAATGTGAATTTTTCCAATCTATGAACATGGGAGATATTTCACTTTTGTATGTGAGAGGCTGAATTATATTAAATATTTTGTCTACAGCTATTGAAACAGTCACGTTTTTGTCTCTCATTCCGCTAATGTGATATACTGTGCTTATTGACGTGAATATGCCGGGTCATTTTTGCATCCATGCAATTAGTCCTAGTTGAGCATGGTGAGTTATCTGTTTGACATGCCATTGGATTTGATTTGTTAGTACTAGGAGCTGGGGATTTAGCTCAGTAGCAAAGCATCTGCCTGGCAAGTGCAAGGTCGTGGGTTCAATTCCTGGTATTGGAAAAAAAAAAAAAGAATGATTTATTAGTATTTTTATAAGTTTTACATCTGTGCTCATCAGAGTTATTATCTAAAACCTCTCTTTCCCCTTTCTGTTTCTTCGTGTGTGTGTGTGTGTGTGTGTGTGTGTGTGTGTGTGTGTGTTTCTCCACCTCTCTTGGTTTTTGTTATGTTCTTATCTGGTTTTGGTATACAGATAGTTAATGTTAGATTCATTGAACAAGGGTGGAAGAGTTCCCTCCCTTTTGAGTCTCTGAAATAGTTTGAAAAGGATTGGTATTAGTTCTTTCAACATTTGGAAAATTTTAGTGGTGCTGGGCTTTTCTTTGTTAGGAGACTTTTGTTACAGATTCAAACTTATTTGTCTATTCATTTTTTCTTATTTCCTTGTGTTTCAATTTTAATAAGTTAAATGTGTCTAGATATTTATCCATTTCTTCTAGGTTTTGTGATTTGTTAAAGTATTATTTTTACAATAGTCTTTGTTGACATTTTTTATTTCTGTAGAATCACTTAAAATGTCTCATTTTTCTTCTCTGATTTTATTTATTTGGATCTTTGCTCTTTTTTCCTTGATTACTCTAGTTAAAGGAGTGTTAATTTTATCTTTTAAATAAATCAAGTAATTTTTCCATTGATTTCTTTTAAAAAAATTCCTGTCTTTGGTCTTTATTTTGTTTATTTATTTTCTGATCTTTGTTGTTTATTTTGTTCTACTAATCTGGGTTTGGTTTGTTCTTGCTTTTCCAAGACCTTGAGATGTATCATTAAATTATTTATTCAAAATTTTATTTTCTTTTTTATGTAGGTGCTTATTGCCAAAATATTCCCTAGTAACAGTGCTTTGATGTATCCAGTGCATTTTGATGTGTTGTAGTTTCCTTTTATTTGCTTTGAGAAAAATTTTAAATTTCACTTTCAATTTCTTCAAAGACCTATTGATCATTTAAAAACATTTTATTCTGTCTCCTGTATTTGTATATAGGTTCTAAAGTTTCTTTTGTTGTTGATTTCTAGTTTTATTCCATTGTCATAAGAAGACATACAGTATAAAACTCCAGTTTGAAAAAATTGTTAGGACTTGATTCATGACCTAAAATATGGCCTATCTGAGGGAATATTTCATGTGCTGATAAGAATGTGTTTTCGGCACCTGTTGAATGAGATATTCTGTAAACATCTTTTTGTCACCTGGACCTGAGAAAACCCACTTGTTTTCCTTTTCTCACTTCTAGAGGCTGAGTATATCCTCAGGCTTGAGGACCCTTCCTGTATCTTCCAAGTCAGTAGCTTGGTATACTTAAATTTTTTTTTAAACATTCAACTTCCCTTATCACAGTACCTATGTCTGACTCTGATATCCCCTACATTCTTCTGATCAGGATCATTATGATTAAATTAGGTCCACTGAGATAGTCCAGTGTAGTCTATTGTCTCAAGGTTCTCACCTTAATCACAGCTGTAAAGTTCTTTCTCACCCAAGTTAATATTTATAGGAACTGAGGATGAATACCCCAATTTGTTTATTTCTCCTCTTATCTTTGTTATTTATTTTTTTCTACTAATTTGTGGTTCAGTTTATTCTTGCTTTTCTAAGACCTTGAGATGTATCGTTAAGTTAGTTATTTAAAACTTTGTTTAAAACCTTGATAGGTCATTATTCAGCCTACTGCAGTCATTAACAGTAAAAACAAGTTTAATAATTTATATATTCTTAATACCCTACTTAACAATTAAAGAATACACTACATAAAAAAACCTTTTCACCTCAAACAAACTAAACATGGATTTTTTTCCCTCTGTCCCCATTGTACTCTCTCTGTACAATGTGTTCCAAACCTCAAGAGTCAACTACTTTACTATTTATTATTTGTTTCTCTACTTATGAATTTCAGTACTATTTCTTGTCTGATAAAGGACTTGGTCTGAAACCTCAGAGTTAGATGATTTCTTTATTTGCTAGGAAATTCAAATCAGTGTGAAAACTTAATGAAGGTGTTGATTTTACTACAAGTCACTCATATGTATAACACTATATGGGATACTACTAGATTATTGAATCAAGTTTCTCTTGGGGATGCCAGAACTCTGTTGAAAAGAATTCTTTGCTCTTGTTTATGAAGTATTTATTACCTCCCTTACCCCATACAAATTTTGATACATTTTACATAGATTTCTAGAATATTTTCTTTAAAAAGCATCCAGGTATTTCACTTTTAACACCCTAAAATTTTGACTTCAAAGTTATACTTTCCCTGATAGAAGCCTTAATATTTCTCTTATTTGTCAGATTTATAAATTTTATTTTTCATCAACATATTTTTAATATAAAATATATTTTCATTGTGTTTCTTCCAGAGAAATGTATAACATCAAATATCATGGTTGACAGTGGGTTTTTGTCTGAAGCAGAACATAGTTGTCTTTTAAATAAAGAAGCACAATATACATGTAAGCCAGGGTATGCAACAGCAGATGGAAAAGCATCAGGCACAGTGAAACGCTTGCAAGACTGATGGTCTCCTCAACCCATTTGTATCAGTAAGCAATTTTATATTTCTAGTGTATTTCTCTGAATATAGTAACACATAAGTTTAACTATTATTTTTTTCCTTTTAGGCTTGTATGATATTATCTAAAAGAAATAAATCACATTTTCAAAAAAGATATAAACGTTCCTATTTCAAAATGTTCTCAACTTTTCTGTTTACTTCCCACCCCTTCCAAGGAAATAATTTCTTAAGTCCCTTTTTTTTCTGAAATAAAATGTCCCTATTTCAAAAAGGCAGGAATAGAAGGAAGAAAAGGACAGAAATGAGGAAATAAACTAAGGAGAGAGTTCTGGAGGTCTTTAGGCACAACATCATGAAAAAGACAATTATACACCTTCCTTTCACCATGTTCAAGTTATCAATGTCTTGCATTTAATTTCTTCTTTTTAATAAAAGTCATCCTAGTGGATAAGCTACATCCATGGTGCAGTATTCAAGAGAAAATTGTGCTTCTAAATTTCAGCAGTATGTAATTAGATGTTGTGGAGAAGAAACAACTCTGAAAATTCATATGATTTGTGAATGTTTGAGAGTGATGGCAGAGTGGCAGGTTTTGGTCCTAGGAAATGATAGACTAATGATTTATTTATGACATTTATAATTCTCAGAAAAAATACTACTGAGTTTACATTTTTAATGTAGGGAAATTAAGTTAAAGGGCTTCTGAAAAGAAAAAAAAAATACCTTACCTTGGATAGAATTTGAAGTTAGAATATGGAGGATTTATTTTCTCCTTTCTTGATGAAGTCTTCCTAAAATTAATGTCATATGCTTGTTAACTAAATCCTGCTTCCAGAAAATAGCTACTGACATTTTCATTTTTCTTTTGGTTTTTCTTCTTCTTATAGACTTTTATTAAATAAGAACTGTAAAATATTTTTCACAATATCCACAGTGTGTGGAGTTCTAAAAGCCAAGGATAAATTCTTCACTTTTACTAAATTTATAATAAATGATCCATCATAAGCTATACCACTGTAAAAGAGAAATTCTTCATGTTAATTTATATAACTGAATATTCTCTTCAGTGTTTATGACACCACTATTAGTAACTATAACTGAGAATGTACATTAATAATTTAAAAATTTATTCTGAAGCCTAGAAAAAAAATCATCTTTTTTCATTGTCTTTCCATCTGTTGACTTGTTCAGAGATGAAAGTAGCAACATTAAATTATCGGTTATATAACTGCATTGAGCTGAAGGATTTGGGACTTCTCAGGTTAAAAAAAGATATGAACATGAAGTGTCAGTACATACAACAAACTTTATGGGAGCATTTGGACAGGTTATAGGAAGGGGAGATCTCTCACAGCAAGAAATCTTCCAGAGGACCAGTGGAAGTAGAGGGGGTGAAACTAACCCTTGGCTGGAAGGGGAATTAGGGCAGAGATGTTGCTCAGCACTACAGGTGGGACTCAGAGAGCTTTAGAGGACTTGGGGTCTCACACACACACAGAATTTGTCCTATCTAAAGATATCAGGGTATTAAGAGCAGGCAGGCTCTAACTGACTAAAATATGCTTATCCAAAATGCATTGAGAGCAACTGGATATGCAACAGTTTTGCATCACCATGTTTTGAATTAGTGATCAGGCAACTGTAAAAAAGTTAAATACATAGACTTTCTTGGCTGATTTATGTACCAGTTTTCAGAGATTTTGATATCTGAGGAAAGTAGTATACAAACGAATACAGTTTTTAATGTTTTAGTAATTATATCAGAATAGCAATTTATCACTGGCTATTAGATGCTTTTTAAATGTCTCCTCAATTTAAATAAAATTTGATATATTGACATAATGAAAAAATGTGATGAAATATAGCTAATCATAAAATAGGACTGAATGAAATATAAAAATGAGACTTCAAAAGAGAACTCCACCAATTTAAAACTAGTCAAAACTATTCCACGAGGCTTGAAGTTGGGAGATGGGGCAGTGAGTGTTATGGTACAAAGGAAGCTTCAAATAATGTAGGCAATATTTTCTTCCTTACCAGATAGGGGTTACAAAAGCGTGCTTACAGTGGTGGGTGTGGTGGTGCATGCCTGTAAGCCCAGCACTGAGGGGGGTTGAGGCAGGAGGATCATTGAGAGTTTGAGACCAGCTTGGGGTACAAAGTGAGCTCAAGGCCAGCCTAAACTGTGTAGGGAGATCCTGTATCAAAAAAAAGAAAACAGAAAAAAGACAAGAAAAGACAGAAGTGTGCTTATTTTGTGAAAATTTATTGAATAGTACTTTTATAATTTTTATTCTTTTACATACATTTAGTACTTCAATAAGTTTATTATATCCTAACATTAAAAGAAAATTCTCCATCAGTATTTTTACATTTCTGCATAGTTCAAGTTTCCAAACACAGAGCACTGTGTAGTCTTGGCTATAAAATGATTACTTAGAAGTCGTGCTGGGTTAGTCAGCTGTCACATGACAGAAATATCTGAGATAAGCAATTTAAGAAGAAGAAAGATTTATTTTGGCTGATGGTTTCAGAGGTTTCAATCCATGGTCACTTGGCTCTGTTTTCTTGGGTTTGTGGTGAGGCAGAACATCAAGGCAGGGTGTATGTGGCACAGCAAAGCTGCTCATCTTGCCAGGAGCAAAAAGTAAAGAAGGATCGTGGATCTTAATATTACCTTCAGAGGCTCCCAAGGATCTAACTTCCTTCCATTAGGCTCCACCCCCTAAAAGTTCGCCTACCTCCCCATAATGCCAGAGGTTAGTGACCAAGCCTTTAGTATGTGAGCCATTGGGAAACATTTAAGACCCAAAGTACAACACATCTTGGAGGATTACAAAGAGTGCATAGCTCCAGGAACATATAGAGATATCTTTCTGGAGTCATTCATCTATAATCTAGAATATTAAAAACGTAGGAATCTTCTTTTTCCTTCTTCAGAAAAGATTTTTCTATATCCCAGAGCAGAGATTTTTTGCTGCTCTTCTCCTGAAGGGAGGATGCACCCATGTGCCAACTGCTCCAAATCTCATAAATTTGAGAGTCCCTTCCTGTGGTGCAAAGCCATTGCACGAGCAGAGCCATGAACCTCACTACACCCAACGAGGTGGAACCTGCTGAACGTGGGACGCAGGGTCAGGGCACTGGCACTAAGGCTCCTGTGAGTAGCAAGCCATCTCATCTCTGATCTGTAGAACCAATGACTTCTGTCAGGGCACATCTGTCTATAAATATATATTTTATGAACAAAATTCTGACTTTAATGTACTCTAAATTTTATGAAATGCCAACATTGCTGAATTCCAGAAGCAGAGCAAATGGCACCTGATTCAAGCTGGAATATGAGTGCAACACAGCTATGAAAGCAGAGATGGGAGCGGCACAGGATCAGCAGTGCACGGTGAAGATGCTGGTCTCATCTGCCCATGTGCTATGGTAAGTACATTTTTTTCTGGAAAATAAAAGCAATGCTAAATATACTTCTTTGTGGGTGCTCTCTGAGATCTCTAAGGAACAATAATAAAAATTCAAGATGTCTCTGTAGACCTTTAAGAAGCCAAATTATATACCAGCATAATAACATATCTATGAACAACACTTATCTCATTCAAAATATAGTTGTTTGTATGCCACACACGTCATCACAGCAGTGACTCAAAATAAAAGTTCTTTTCAAGGTGTCTTGAATTCAAACTGCCAATTATTTCAAACTTCGATGCACGTTACCAACAGAAGTTTATTACTCCTCTTTTAGCAACTTTAGATATTCTGCTCCTTGACCTTCTCCCTTTCTGGTCTAACTAGTAACTCCTACAAGTTACACTGAGTAGTTTTAAACAGAATGCCTTCAAGTTATGCCAAGTATTATCCTTCCTTAAATAATATTTGTATATTAATTTTCAACTGCTGCTATTGAACTTGAAATACAGACTTTAATTTTTTTTTAAAAGAATGCAGATTTGTTATTTTATTATTCTGGAGGTCAGTAGATCTTAAATCGATGAGTTAGGTTCTACCTGCTGGAGGTGCAAGGACAGATTCCATCTCTTTGTATTTTAAATCTTTAAAAAGTCACTGCATTTCTTACCTCACAGTGCTTCCTCAAATCACTCCAGTTTTTGTTTCTGTCTCAACTCTGGTACTCCTACTCTCTTTCAAGGATCTTTGATTTCATCTGCCATATCACAGAGGTAATCCAGGGTAGTCTCTCAGTGTCAAGGTGCTTAATTTCATTATGTCTGAAAAAGCTCTTTTTAATGTAAGGTAACATATCACAACTTTCAGGGATGAAGACAGAGGCATGGTTGGGGGGCATTATTCTATTATAACACCATGTAAGTGGCTGTCCGTGGATAAAGACATGCGAAACTCCTGAATTAGCTAAGATCAATTATTTTCACAATCAGTAAAAACCCCATCTAAATAGGAGTGACATTCTTCACAGAAGTAGGCAACTGATTCTAAAATTCTTAGAAAAGCACAAAAGACCCTGAGAACCAAAACAATGTGTTACTGGAATAAAAACAAACACACAGACTAACGAAACAGAACAGAGATCCCAGGAGGAAAACCATGCTTATGTAGTCCACTAATTCTCAAAAAAAAAAGTACTAAAAATACACCCTGGGAAAAGGGGACCCTCTGCAGTAATGTTGCTGGGAAAACTGAATATACAAATGCGGAAGACAAAGATTGTACTCTGATCACTCACCCCATACAAAATCTACCTAAAATGAACTAAGTACCTAAATGTAAGATGTGAAACTATGAAACTACTGTCTGGAAGAAAACACAATCCCTTCAAAACACTGGTGCAGGCCATAATTTTTATATCACCCCAAAGGCATAAGAATCAAAAGCAAAAATACACAAATGCTATTATATCACACTAAAAAACTGCACAGCAAAAAAAAAAAAAATCAACGGAATGAAACCACAATGTACATAAAGGGAGAGAAAGTATTGGCCATCTATTCATCTGACAAAGGACTAATGTCTAGAACACATAAGAAACTCCAAAAATGTAACAGTAAAAGTAACTAGCCCAGTTTTTAAATGGACTAATAATATGAATAGACATTTTTAAAAAGAAGAAATATAAATGCCTACAAATATATGAAAAATGCTCAAAATCATCAACTATCATGGAAATGTACGTCAAAATTACCATGAAATACCATGTCACCCCAGGATTTGGATGTGTGTTCCTCTTGCATCAGCCATCCAAACTCCTCCTACTCTAATAGAGTATGTGCTTGCTTTCAATATCTACTTTTTGAACATAACTATCTTTTCATGAAAGAATTATGTCTTATCTTAATTCTTAGAATCTTGAAGAATTATTTTCTTGTGGCTTGAATGTAAAAATTATTCATATTTTATATTATGCACAGGAATAAATTATTAAACTTCTATTTAATAAATAACAACATGCATATATAGTAATATATAACATAATATATTTTGCCATGATTAATTTTAAATTACAAAATTTACTTTGTAAGTAAATTCTCAGAACTTTATGATTGTAATCCTGAAGAGATTCTCACGCAAAAGTTTTCTTTGCATCTCAATTTTTCTAATTTGTCCAAAAGGTCTTGGACATATTTGTTAGATGTAAATCATTAATTTATATGGTTTTATGACTGCAAAACATACATTATGCTCTTTGGAGTTCTATTTTTATGTAGCATATATATTACATTTATTTTTATAATAAAATGTTACTTGTTCATTTAATTTCACTTTATTTTTAGAAAGACAATGTTCTCTGCCAGATTTAGAAGCAAACATGTATACTTATCCAAACCAAGAAACTACAAAATTGGAGATTTTCCTGCAAATGAAGAGTTAGATTAGATTCAGTTCAGTACTACCAGTGTGGGTAGTCACCTAATTTCCACACTACCAGTGTGGGTAGTCACCTAATTTCCCAACATGCAAAGGTAAATATGTATTTTAGGAATATGCTTAAATCATGATTTGGTATTATATTGATGCTTATGTATTTTGTTGGAGCTTATATTATATTCATAACCTGACAAAGTGGGAAAAATGGCAAAGGTAGAATTTCAGTTAAGGAAGAGGAAGGATGCTGCTCTATAGCCCTGAGTTGCATAGATTATTTAAGTTACCTTAATGAATGAATAACTTCGCCTTTGTGTTACAAAATATGCAATGGGATTTTATAAGTCGAAATATAACTGGTATTGCAAGATGTCAGGGTTCTCTCCTTTTATCTCAATAAAAATATATATTTAAAAATATTTTCAAGCCAATTACTTTTCATTAATAAAAGGTCATTAAATATTTCAATAGATTTCAATAGATTTCAATAGAAAGCAAGGATGATTTGTTACCACTTCCGATGACATTATTTTAGTGTAATAGTTTTTAAATTATTTTAGATGCTATTAATAAAAGCTAGAATTATACTTCATATATATATATCATATCCCATATTTGATAGTCTTACTTTTGACATACTTTAAAATTTTAAAGGATACAACTTCATATCCTCGTTATAATAACCTGTAAATTACTGGAGAGAAGGACAATCAGGATATTTGAATATAGGGAGGATATAAGATTGTACTAAATAAATTACTATTAATTTGTTGAAATCATAAGATTTTTATATAAGTAAAGCAAATATCTATATTTATCAGAAATGTATTCTGAAGGACTTCAGAGTAAAAGTTTACTGTCAATGACTTTAAAGCACTTTATAAAAAATAAATGAAGCAAATACGGTAAAGTGTAACATTTTTATGTCTGTGTGTCTTTTATGTATTCTTTCTCCTATCATTTTCTGAGAATCATTCATTTAAAAAGTCAATATTCAAAAAAATGAACACAGTCAATACACTATCTGTACAGCAAAAACTCAGACCCAAAAAACCCAACAAAGAATAAATGTAATAAATCTATCAACTAAAATAGTAACTCCATATTTTGCTACATTCCCGATTACAAGTTCATTTAAGCACTATTTAAATTTTTTAAGTTATGGGAAACATTGAGTCATGCGGGCCTCCTCCTCGACTCCCCAGTGGTAAAAGTAAAGAGGTATGGAAAGAGGAGTAAAGATATAATGACGTAGTGGAATATGATCGCCATCCCCATTTCATAATGAAAGGACATAAGAACATACAACGTATGGATGGAGAATGGGCAATTTCATCCCCTTGTGTTGGTAACTAGATGTTAACCTTCAAGCAGAATAGTAACTAACTTTGTCCTCACATAGAAATACATATATAACCGCATTTAAATATTTTGAAGGTAAATATACATATTACTATGTTTTCCTAGAGCAAATACAAATGTGGATATCTACCTAAACTGGAGAATGGCTATGTCCACCTCTGTCTCTCCCTATCAGCATGAGGCTTCAGTGCAAGGGCACTGCAGAAATGCCCATACGATGCCTGGGAATGATGCAAAAGCTTATTTTAGTGTAATGTGGACAGAGCTTCCTAAATGTTGCTGGTAAGAATACAGTTCCAAACTATATCTCATTATTTACAATTTTGATTGAGAATATATAAAATTCATAACTCTCACTAGAATTACAATGATATTGATATGAAATTTTCCTCCCATTAATTTGATACATTAAACCATTTATTCAGGATTCTTTGGGTTTTTACTTGTATAATGATTGGAATCTTTATTAATTTATATGTTTGAATAGTCATCATTTCTACATACATAGGTATAACTTAACTTTTCCATATTAATTTTGTTTTCAATAGCTTTGTTGAATTTCTTTATTACTTCTGATATTGAAATGGCTTGCTGTATTTCTATAAGTAATACAATTTAGTCTTCTTAGATCATTGTTTTTGCTCAGCTTTTACATCAGTATTTCCTTTAAGCCACAGCTAAGTTAATAATTGTGTAGCCCAAGTTCTATTAATCTAGGGTATTTACAGTCTATTAGGGGAAGAATAGGGGATCAGAACCAAGGAACCAAGCTTGATCCCCACTCTTCCTGTCCACATAAATCTGTTAATTCTATTCCAGATTTTCTGATTAGCTTGTTTGTATTTCCTCCAGAAAAGTGATGGAATTCATTGTAGGTTTTTTCTCATTCCACGAGCCTGAGTCTCTGTTCTTAACTTTCTGTTCTAATTGTACCAGGACTTTTGTGTATAATGCTTTGGTATCTGCAAGATATTTTTGTTTTGTTAGGTTTTGTTTCTCACCTCCTCAGATCTTAATCTCTTTGGTCTTTCCTATACCAACTCCAATATATTAAAGCCTCCGATTTTGAGATTTAAAGACAACTAGACCGTGCTTCTCTTCTTTCAAAATCTAAAGTAAGTAGTCTAGAATTTCTCTCCTCTTCTACCTGCTTGACAAATTATCAACTGACCCATCCACTTCTGGGAAAAAAATACTATGGCTATTTCCACCCCTGTGCCTGGCAGATACCTGGTCACTGTCATCTATAATGACCCACGGTGAAGGAATATTTTCTGCTCCTAGGAACCTGAACTCTGTTGTAAGAAAACATGGACTGTTTCCCTTCATAGACACCAATTTTTATGGAAGAGGGTTACAAACATCCAATTGCAGCCTTATGTTGGATAAATTTAACATAGGCGTATTTGCAGAAAAACACTTGTAAGCACAAAATTAATCAAGAACATTCTATGTTTCATTATCCCATCCTTTGGCACATGTAGGAAAAGACTCATAAAAATCTATATATTTATGGAAAAGGAGATAAATGTAACAATTAAAACAGATTAGACAAGCAAGAAGGTATCAGAAGGTGTGTTTAGTGAATCCTTCCCTTGAACATATTCTGACTTGCTGAGTCAGACATTTTGCTAAACTTCTGAAGAGTAGGAGTAATTGATCTCCAAGGACATCTAGATCTATCTCTCTCACAGGCTTACTATATTCCCTGCAGACTTACTCAGGCATTGGCTTTCTTATTATTTCAATGCTGTAAAGATATTTAATTGGCCTAGTGGAAAACAATCATATATGTGTAATGACTGTTCTCCAAGCAAAACTCCTGACCAGTGGAAGCCATCTTGCACTTCCATTTTCCAGTAACTTTTTGTCATAATTTTCTGTCAAGCAGATTGGATAATAGTTTTTGTTTCCTTTTAAAAAGTTTTAATAGGTCAATTTTGCAGTGAAATGAAGAATAATTTTTGGTATTGGTCTAAATCATCAAACATCATTTTACTATTAATATTTCACATATTTATTGAGATAATTGCTTAGTTCATGTTTGGTATTCCTATCATGTGTGCCTATCTTCATTTATAGCAACAAAACAACTTGAGAAATGTCAGAGATAAAGGCTTGATACAATAGTAGCTCTCGGGGCTGGGGATTTAGCTCAGCGGCAAAAGCGCCTACCTGGCAAGCGCAAGGTCGTGAGTTCGGTTCCCGGAACCAGAGAAAAACCAATAGTAGCTCTCATTTCACAATTGAAAGAATTTAATAATAGTGCCAGAACAAATGACAGATGTTATGGGACATTCAGAGAAAGGTAAACAGTCTGCATAAATGTAAAACAGGAGCTTGAGCCAGCATGTAAAGTTAAGATTTGGTTAAAACATTTGGTTGGTCATTGAGTTTCTTCAACAGAAAAGATTATCTTATACTGGCAGATTTTTAGATTAATTATTTGTTACGGTGTATTATTTTTTAAGCTGAATGGAAAGTTAAAGGCTACACATAATACTCTTTCCAGACAGATAACCTCTACAAACTCTAGCTTTTTGACAAAGATGATGCAGTAAAGTCATTTTTACTTTGTGAAAGTCTCTTAAAACTTTGAAAGAAAAAAACTATAAATATAGAACAAGAATGAGTCTTCAATGACATTAGGAAATAACTCAAACTACACACTGTGAAACATAACGAACAGATGTTTTTTCAATTTTGGACCAGATTGCAGGCTGAGTAGAAAGTGTGCTGAGAAAGAAAATGTACCTGAGTAAAAAATTGTTTCCCTAAGAAGTCTCATTTTCCACAAAAGCTTATTTTCAAATCTAATTTGAGCAATAGGATTATAAATAACAAATCAGTATAAAATGTAACACTATACTTGGTTACAATGAACCAGATGTAAAGAAGTGATAATAAGACAGAAAAGACAGACTACAGACTTTCATCAGTACTGGAAGTCAGAAGAAAATAGAACTATACTTTAAAGTGCTCAGGGAAAGTAACTGGTAACCAATTAGTCTATCTACCAACACTATTCATTCATGATTGCAAAGAAATATTCAACATAATATAGGAAAGACTAAGTGAATTTAATATTCAAAGTCATTGGCTAAAAGAAGTGATCTAAAATTTCTATCAATGAAATGAAAACAAATCAACTAATTCAAACAATCAAATTAATTCAAACTAATTCAAACAATGAAATAATTCAAAACAAAAGATCCTGATGTCATTAAAATAATGGGAAAATACTGGACTCCATTATTACATTAAAATATATAATGATTTCAAGAAGATAAGATAATTGCAATTTGTTGAAATAACCTATATATATATATATATATATATATATATAAAATTTCCATTTGAGGAAATGTAAAGATGTATAAAGCCTTGTATGTGTTCATAAAATGCTTACTTACTTAAACTGGTTATTGTGCTTTTATAATAATTCTCATGAGTCTCACTTTCTATAATCACAGAGAAATGACAATTGGAAGTACTCATAAAAAGTTATTTCCTCCCCTACCTTGCACTTTAGATAATATGTTTTCTAATAATCTCATTATACAATGTTTAAAATATTAAGAAGCATATTACAAGAACACATAGTAAAACGTATGAGATGCAACCTCACCAAAATTTAGAGTAATCACCATAGTCTGAAATTCATTTATATTTTGGAAATTATAAATTTATATTATGTGTCCTAAAAACTAGGTAACATTAAATTCAGATATTAGGAGAAAAATAAAATAATAAAAGTAAAAGCAGAAGTGAATAAAATATCACTTACAACTGAACCATGCAATAAAACTAATATTTTTTACACTTTTAACCTCGAAGACCAAGGCAAAAGTATTACAAGCTCAAGGCCAGTCTAGGCAACTTAGCACGACTCTGTCTCAAAGTAAAAAGTGCTGCAATTTGTAATTGCTAAAATGTGGAAGCAACCCAAATGTCCATCCACCGAGGATTGGATAAGAAAATTGTGGTACTTATATATAATGGAATATTACTCAGCTGTAAAGAAAGATAAACTCGAGGCCTTTATATTTAAATGGTCACAACTAGAGACCATACTCATAAGTGAAATAAATCAAACATACATGTGCAAGCACTGCATTGTTTCACTAGTGTAGAACCTGAAAGAGTTAATTTAAACTCGGAGGTATGATAGACACTGTGAAATGATATGAAACCACTCAAGAGTAAAGGGCAACTGGGATGGGGGAAAAGAGAAGGGAAAGAAGGAGAAATTTTGTATGTATGTATATACAGGATAGTTAACATGGTTGTTCTTCTGTCTTCTATTTCTATGCTGAAAGAAACTCTCAATAAGTCTTTGGTTGATCAGTATTGCATGTCTATATCTGTTTTCATGAGAAGCCAGTTTGAAGATATCAATATGCAATACAACAACCATTGTTAATTCTCTACCACTCTGTTTGTAACTCCGTATTGTCTGTACTGTTCTTTTGCTATGTTGTAAAATGTTGTCTGTCTGTTAATGTTTTCCTCCTTTTATTTTTAAAATTAAAAAAAAAAAAAAGTAAAAAGTGCTGGAAGTGTGATTTAGTGGTAGAATGTGCCTGGATCCAATCCCCAGTACAACTAAAAATAATGCAGCAACAAAATAAAAAACCTTAATGTTTTGGAAAAGATTAATAGCAGACTTGTCCAATCACATTAACTCAAATCTAGAATGGTGAGTGGACACAAATAAAAATTTTCTATATTAAAATGAAACTACAGGAAAAATATAAGAGCACAATTTTTAAAATAAAGTAGAAGCATAAAGGAAAGAAAAACATTGTGGGATATTTATAGATTCTTGACCTATTTCTTGAGATCTCCTTTGACATAGCATAGTTACCTTGAGAGAACTACCTTGAGGCCTTTGACTTAGTGTCTGTTTCTCCACTGTAGTTAATCTACCCCTCTACGTGGATCTTCTGAGGAGACCCTTTGTACGTCAATCCCTTTGTAAGGCTAACCCTTTGCAATAGGTACAACTCTAGCCACTGGGATATGAAACATTCCAGCACGTATATGGCCAATGTCTTTAGGTGTTTTAGGAAACAAGCCCGTTCAGTTTATATTAAATTTTAAGCATGAGACAATGCCTATTCCCTGTACCATTAAGTCCATGAAAAATGGACTGTAGCTTCCAGGGCTAGAGACATAACAGTGGTCGATGACTTATCTAGCATGCAGGAGATCCTGTGTTCTATCCTCAATACTAGGAGAAAAAAAGAAAAGGAAAGAAGAAAAATCTTCCCACTTTAACTTCAACTGAACTGGAATTTTTGTTTTTCTTCACAATAGACACAACACACAGAGAAGTCTTTTTAAAGAAACCTTTACTACTAGCTCCTCAAAACTCATCCCTTTACCTTCTTATGCTTATACAATATTTAGGCTGGCAGAACAAGTGTTATCATCTCTTGGTTTATCTCTTACTTTATATCTTTGGGTAAATGAATTTGGAAGAACAGGCAAAAAAACTCACACAAGAACATTTTTATTTTAATGTTTAGTTTGTACATATAGACATAAAGAGGTCTCAAAATATATCTAATGAAAGAATTTGGTTGCCACATGATCTGCTATAAAATAGCACTTATGGGCACGAGGCAATAAATTTATGGACAGTAAAAATAAAAATGGAGTCACATATATTTAGAAATGGAAAATAAGAATTAGAAATACACATATGTTGAAAGAACATTCAATGCTTAAACTTTTTTGACCAATTTTGCATGCTTATATCTGGTAATCTGAAAAACTAAATTGAAGACAACAATATGCAATATGACAACCATTACTGAATTCCTGCCATTGTGATTAGTGAAACTTTGTATCATTTGTAATGTTTTAAAGTTATTTTTTATTCTCTTTAATTGTTTGATCTATCTTCATTCTTACATATGGTAATCTGAGCAACTTCGTTGAAGATAACATTGTTTAATATAGCAACCATTGTTAACTTCCTGTCATCTTGTTTTGAAATTCTATGCAGTTTTTATTGTTTTTGTTTTGTTTTTATCTTTGTTGTCGTTATTTTGTTTTCTTTTCTCTTTACAATAAAAATAAAGAAGGAAATATGCATGTGTAATAATAATAAAATTAGGTATGATGTAGTACAACTTTATTTTGATGCTAAATTTATTTTCTTTCACTAAGAAAGGAAGAAGGGTATATTTCATTCCACAAACAAGACAAACCAAGATAAGCTACTAAATCAGGGTTGGCTTAAGTTCATCAGAGAAGTATGGCCACCAAAGAAACTTACTTAACAAAATACTTGCTAGTAAAAAATATCACATTTCTGCTTACATCATACATCCTAGAATGCAAAAAGACAAAAAAGCCACCATGTACACTGACTTGAAAAATCAGTCTACAATTCAGTCAATATGCTGAATGTATCCTAGCCAATCTTAGCATGGAATTGAAATATTTATTGAAAGCAAAGGTTGCCTAAGATATTATTTGGCAGCAGAAGTCATTGCGGAAAGATATGTTTTATAATTCATTTTCAGCAAAACTAAAAGTTCACAGTCACATGCCATTTGGTACATACTATTTGGATAAAATAGCATTTGCCTCAGAGGATAGAAATGGGAAGGGAGTTATGTATTTTTAACCTTTCCTCTTTTAGTAAAAATTAAATATCAAAGTATAGGGGAACTAGACCAAAGTTTTGCTCATCTGTCTGCTATACTTTAAATAAAAACTATTTTTAATACTTATGTACCCAGTATTTTATGTGAAATTTACTTTAGTATGAAAAGAGGTACTACAATATGTTTGATAATGAAATTGTAGGATCGATGTTCTATAATTAGTTATTTGGACTTTCAGACAGTATATATGATATTGAAGATATATATGATACATTACAGTATTGTGCTTAAATCAGTACAATGCTTTTTTCTTAATGAATAAATTGTTATTTTATAGAGTCTACACAATAACGTGGGCCCCCTCCACCATCAGTAATGGAGATACGGCCTCTTTCCTGTTATCGACATATCCTCCAGGATCCACAGCGGCCTACCATTGCTGGTCCTTCTAGGAAAGTCAAGGCTCCACAAAAGTAATGTGCAAAAACTGGCAGTTGTCAGAACCACCAAAATGCCTACCTAAGTTCTTAATATTCTCCTGGAATCTGGGATTTAATATGTATGTGTAATTATTATGAACTAATTTTATATAACAAATTTTACCTAAATTTCACTCAATTAAAAGCTTTTCCTTCCTAATATAATTATATAAGAAAAAAATTTCTAAAGAATTTATATAAAGAGAAAAGGAAAGTTTTATACGAATAAATTTTTAAGATTTAAAAGTAGAGAGTACATGAAAAAACTTCATAAATAATATCCAGAATTGTCTTACCAAAATTATTATTTAGGGAACCTATTCTTACACTGTTAAATATTTTCAAATGAACATCTACCTGGGAGTTGTTCACCAAGATCATTTTTAAAACATGGTTTTAGGAAAATTGTTATTTACCAGTATATGAAGTTTTACTTGAGAACTAGAAAGCTTTCCCTGGTAGAGTTTTTAGTGGTGTATTACTATTATTAGTCTGGGTTTTTTTCTTGTATGTTGCCAGGATTTCTAGCAGGAAAAAGAAATACCTCAAAAGGTAGCAAGCTAAGTCCTGTATTTTCATTAATCAGCTTTCTATTACTATAACAAGTACCTAGGATAAATAAACTTACAAAGAGCAACTGATGAGTAGATGAAGATGCTACTAAGATGCTAAATACAACTTTGGATAGGAAATACTTGAAAATATGCAGAAATTATCATAAAAAGAGGCCATAAAATAATTTTCCAGAAGAAAGGTGACAACAAAATTACAACCCAGTATGTGTATGCCATATTGGCAATCAGAATTTTAAGAAAGGCTTGTTCTTTTTCTCTTTCTCTTTTTTTCTCTTTCTCTCTTTCTCTGTCTCTCTGTCTCTGTCTCTTTTTTGTCTCTCTGTCTCTGTCTCTGTCTCTCTTTTTAACCACTAGGGATTGAATTTATGGAGTGCTGAACCGCAGTGATGATGCTGCTTGAGTTTCCCAAGTAGCTGAGATTACATGTGCATCATCATACCTGCTGAAGGATTTTCTATTAAGAATAAACAATATTCTAAACAAAAACAAATACAAAATTTAAAAAAATGATAATTAAGAATCATCCAAGCAAACAAACAAAGGGAAAGAAGCAACACAGTTATCTAGTCTATCCAAGGTCATATGCCTTAGCAATTTTCCATGGGATGGAAGTTTCAAGATACACAGCTCAGAGAAATGATGCTTTTACAAAGTCAGACATAAATTCTCTGGGTGGTTCTTAGTTAATGAGTTAGAGAGCCATAAATATTTAATAAAAACATTTTTGTTGTGGTCTTTTAAAAGGTTCAGTTGGTTAGAAACATGCTGTAGTATTAGAATGAAAAGAAAATACAATCTGGGGAATTTGCTAAGGTCCTTCTAAAGACTGATCAAAATAAACAGTAAGCTAGAAAACTTGGACCAAGGAAATAGAAGTTTAAAATAACTTTAAAAGTTTCAATAAGTTATAGAGAAAATTCTCAGTGTCAAATACATAAGAATTCCTGCAAACCAATAAAAGCTCAGTGAAAAAAGAATATATATGGTGCATAAGTGAAAATATGGCAAACAAACATGAAAAATTTCATGTCTGCCCCAATATAACATTTAAATCAATTAGCAATGTTCAATCAGGAGACTGTCAAAAAGAAAAGTATATGTAATATAAAATTTGGTAAGTGTCTGAGGAAGCATGTATTTTTAGTCTCTCTTGTTGAAATTAGAAATGAATCCAAGATTTGGAGCACATTTGGAAGGAAGCCTCAAATTTTAAAGAGACACCATTTAGTCTAATGATTTGAGTTTAGGAAATCTGACTTTTAAGCACATTTTTGCATGGTGGAATCAAAGGAATAAAATAGTAAAAAATAAACAGTACCTAAATTTTTATCAGTCATCTCATGAGGTATTAACAATTTATATCCACAGGTGAAGAAACTGAGACACAAAAGACCTGAGTATTTTGTTCAAGTAAAAATGTGAGCGCTTGGTGGAACATGGGTTCAGACACAGACACCTGGCTTGGATTCTATGTATTTAACACCTGTCCTCTGTAAACTGCTCATGTCTACAGAATATTAAAGTGCTTAACTTCACCTTGAGAGTCAGGAACTGGTTTGACACGTGTTATTTGCAAAACACTTAGCAACGTGCTTTCACATTTCTTGAACTTTGACGTCTGTATGAAAGAGAATTTCCTTTGGCAGCTAGGCACTGTGGCACACAGCTGTAACCCCAACTGTTCAAGGGGTTAGCCCTCAAACTTGAGGATCACAAGTTTAAGCCTGCCCGGGGCAATTCAGTAAGACATTGTCTCAAAGTAAAAATTAAAAAAGAGGCCAGGAATATGGCTTAGTGATAGAACATCCTCGGGTTCCATCCCCAATAGCACAAAACAAAAACAAACAGAAACAAAAGAAGAAACAAAATTTTAGTTTTGGTCATCACCCCCTGAATGTCTGTTTAAGTAAAGCCCTGGGTTTATTTCAGCACCTTCTAAACAGTTCCCGTATCAGAGATTGTAGGCTGAAGAGAACATACTACATAGTAGTACCATAATGTATTATTTGTTCAAAATTATACTATCTTTCCTTATGAAATATGTTATATTTAAGGAAGAATGAGTGAAGTTAATGGTCAGTGGAGGAAGAAAACACTTCTTCTATAGAAATCGAAGTTTCACGGATGATTACAGTATGATACAGTGACTTAAACTGCAACATAAAACTGGTAAAATCCTTAGTCTCACTGATGAGTAGTTGTGTTCACCAATATGTTACATGAACATGCAAAGAGAGGATTAAGTTTTAGATATATTGTTATCTGTACTGTGTATCTGATAGTAAGCTATAATGATTACTCTAATAATTAGTAAGCTAGTGATACAGTTGGAATGTTCAAACTGCATGTTATGGAAACTGTTACTGTAAAAGCAAATCTTGTGTTAGGTAAATGTCACCAACTCTAATAAAATATCTTAATTTGTTTTATTAAAAATTTTTTGATATGTCGGCACTTTAAATTCATTTTATTAAAATTTATTTGATGGGTAGCTTGTAGGCAAGTAATACAGAATAATTAAGAGCACAGTATCTGAGGTAACTCTTAGGTTCCATTTTCTGACTCAGATATTTTCTAAATTGTGTAACCTTGGGAAAACTCTGAACTTCCAGTTCTTCATGCATTGGCCAGGGTAAGAATGTGTGGAATTTACAGATTATACAAGAGAAGTACACAAAGGAGTATCTGACATAACTCAGGAAGTATGAGATATGAATATTATTTTATCATTTTACATAACTCTAAATTATTCTTAAATGCAATCATGAATGCATTTTTCTATGGAAGAGAAAGTTATATTGCTAATTACTCATTTTTACTATTCATTTTACTATTTCTTCTTTCAGATGCATGGACAATATCAGATGAAAATACGAAGAAAAAACATACAGTTAAGATGGAAAAAAACAAAGAAAAATTTTCTGTAAAAACAGTGTTGTTGGATATTATTGTAAATTTACATATAGAAAAAATGCTGTTACAATCATTTCAAGTCATCTGTAAGGAAAGGAAAATTGAATACTCCATATGTGTATGAAATAAACACAGCCTCCTTGAATATATTCTTAAAAGTAATCATATGTGAATGCTAAAAGTACTTGTTATATAGTCACTTCTATCATTATTTTTATCTTAGTATTAGAACTCTGATTTTCAGAAGTTCAGAAATTTGTAGGCCTAGAGAACAATGACATACATGTTAGCAGGGCCATATTAGACCTAGGTAAATCATAACACATATACAATAATTTCTACAGAGAGAGTATGCTTCCTTCCTGCAGTATATAATTCCATCTAAGCTACAATAATGTATTTAATACGTATAATATAATTTTCAAGCTTTCTGAATTAACTTTATTTCAGAGAATATGAAAATGTTGAACTATCTTCCTGTTGTTGTTACTTATGAACATGCAAAATTTGTCACTGTTTAATCTTGTGGAAAACATTAAGTATTTGTAAGTCATCTACTATATTTGTGAACATAATTATCCATCAAATACTAAATATCCCTTAAAAGATTAAATACATTGTCTTTCAGAAAAGACTAGAAGAACTAAATATAAACAGATTATAGTGCAGAGCTTCTAATGAGGTCAAGAAAATGAAATTATTAAGTTACAAAGTTGCACATACAGAATTATTTGTAAATATAAGTAGCTGTAGAAAAAAGGTAAGAGAAACACAATGGCAAATACAATTCAGAGTAGTTGGAGGTTAATGTTTAAGAAATTAAAATAGAATATATTTTACAATTTTTTATTTTTACTTTTTATGAGAAGATATTCCTTGATGGTCTTTTGTCAACAAAGCTGAATAGATGATGTTGCACATTTTATATTGTATCTCATTACAAATTTGTTATCAAAACATTTCTGAGACTAAAATTGAACTTAAATAAGGATAATGCAAGTCTGAACTGCACAGTCCTATTTTTTCACTTCTATTAAAAAGTACTCCATGGTACTACATTTGAACAAACACATGTTTAGGTTCTATAATATATTCATGTAATTTTACTGACACTGAGATTTAAAGGATAGTGTTACTGTAGAGCCTACTTTGAAGAGCTCCCCGGCATACATTTTCCTACCAGTTTTATTAATCACAAGTATGTACACAGACTATTTGAATCAACATCACAATTCGACAATTGTTTAAATACCCGACTACATCAGTTGCTAGCACTTTACCTTATTTGCTTTATCAGTCTTTTTTGACTAGCTAGCTATATAATTTCTTGTATAATTTCACTGAACCAAGTAGCACTAAGTTGCTGGCATCGTGACAATTCATCATGTTCTAGACAACATTTTCAGAATACATGTTTTAAAATCACAACATTGGGAGTTCCTCAATTAATAATAATAGGGACAGTTTTTTGGCTGGATGATCTTG